GTAAAAAGTTTGGAGCATGGAGAGTCTGACCCCCACCTCATAAGAGTCAGCCTCGGGCAGCTGATGCTGGTGGTGATTTTCTCTCCCTCTCACGAAGTTAGAGGTGGTCTGATGCCACCTCCTGCCACCACATTTTTACGGAGATAAAGGTGGAAGCAGAGAGATGACTTAGGCTAGATGTGTTCTGAGATTTATTACCCTTCAAGGGACTCTTCAGTTTTCAGAATTGGGATATCACATGGCTGTATTTGTGACTCACGTCAAGTCCCTGAGAGACCTAAGTGAAATATTAGCCAAATAAACTGTTCAATTTGAGAATTAAGATTTACCTTTAAATAGGAAAATACCATTTCAACCTTTGGAGAGTACAGTGAAATTGCCTAGAAAACTCATAGGCACTGAAAAGTAAAAATAAACATCAACACACTTCTTTGAAACTGATACTATTAGTAAACAGCAATTGTGCTACCGTTTCAAAGGCTCCATGAATGCCTGAAACTGTTGCCCCAAGGTAATATTTAAGTTTTAAACTAAAAATATCCCCTTAAGTCTTCTTAAAACTAAACAGTGTAGCTTAACTAGTAAACAATGTCTGCATTAAGCTCTTTTAAAAGCTATATGCATCAAATGGCAACAGTAACCCAAATGATTAGATAGAAACCTGAAGGAGCAGTGAGTTTATCTTAATGAGGAAGGAAGAAGTCATAAAAGGAGGGTGAGAATGGTTGCACAACTTGAAGAATGTAATCAGTGTCACTGGCTTATATACATAGAAATGGCTGGATCAGTTTGCTGTATATATTCTCAACAAAATTAAGGAAAAAAAAAAAAAAAAGAATAATGACTGTGAACCTGAGTTACCTGAAGAAGAAACCAAGAAGAATACAAATGAGTAGATGAATCTCTTAGAAACAACTTCCTTAAGCAGTAAAGATGTACAACAAAGAGCAGTGAGAACAGTGCTTCAGAGGATAAACCCATTGCCCTCAAGTCAGACCTGACTCACAGCGACCCTTCCTTGGGTTTCCGAGGCAGTATCACTACAGAAGTAGATTGCCCAACCTTCCTTCCGAGGAGTGGCTGGTGGGTTTGAACTGCCAGCCTTCTGGTTAGCAGTCAAATGCCTTAGGCACTATGCCACCAGAGCTTCCTGGGGATAGTATGGCTTTTTTTTTTTTTTTTTAAATTACTAATTACACTGGTGGTGTACTTTCATATATATTATTTCTTATTATTCAATTGGCTCTATAATCTTGTACATCTTGGAAATGGCAAAGGGTAGGCTTCTCACTCCTGTCTCCAGATCCCATGATCATTGTTCTCACTGCACCATATGCCCACCCGCAGAGCTTGAAACATACTTGTTCCATAACCTCTTTAATTCCAAATAAAAAATGAAACACTAAAATAAAGTCGTTACCTCTTAAGAACTTTCTACCCTCTCTCAGTTAAGGGACTCCCAGTGTTGTGACATCCTCTGCTGTTGTTAAAATGAAATTAAACAAAAAGTGCTTAATGGTGCCCTCAGAGGTAAGACAAAGTAAAGATTTGTTCTCTTGATTGCATTAGCAGTGGAACTCTACTGGGGAGTTATCTCCAGTATTTATAAAACAAACTCTTGAGCATTCTGCAATATGAAGATTTTACAATGAATACATAATGGATTTGAAAAGGATGAGTTTTACCAAAAATGTCAATAAAACAGTAAAGCAAATAAAGTGATTCTTCATTTACTAGATGAAAATTTGCAATCCATAGTAGCACTTCATAAGGAGACCTGGTGGTGTAGTGGTTAAATCATTTGGCTGCTAACCAAAAGGTCAATGGTTTGAACCTACCAACCCACCAGCCACTCTGCAGAAGATGAGGCAGTCTGCTTCCCTAAGATTTACAGCCCTGGAAACTCAATGGGGATCACTATGAGTCAGCATTGACATGATGGGAGTGACTGGTTTTCATCTGTCACTTTGGTCAATAGAAATTCATCTTTCCAGTTGTTCTAGCTAAAAATCAACCTTGACCTTTTTTTTTCCTACAACCCAGATCCAATGTCAGCAAGTCCCAACAGCTCTACCTTCAAAATACATCCGGAATTTGATTACTTTTCCACTAGTCCAAGCTACCATTGTCTTTTGCATAGATTGTTGCCATTTCATCAGTCTCCATATTTTCAGACTTCATCCCCTTTAATTATATTTATAGTAGCTAGCATGGTCTTTATAAAGCTTAGTCAGATTCATCACTCTTTTGTTTAAACCTATATAGGCTGTTGTTAGCACTCTGATGGCATACTGCCTAAGGCATTTGACTGCTAATCAGAAGGCTAGCAGTCCAAACCCACCAGCCACTCCTTGGAAGGAAGACTGGGCAATCTACTTCCATAGGGAAACTGCCTGGGAAACCCAAAGAGGGGTCTCTATGACTCGGATTCGACCCGATGGCAGTGAGTTTGGTTTTAGTGAGATGGGCCTCCGTCATCTATAATCTCGCCTTTCCACAGCTCACTGTGCTCCAGCCACACAAGCTTCCAACATGCCAGGTGGGGCTGTCATTGCTGTTCCTTCTGCTCAGAAGCTCCTATACGAGATAACAAATCATTATAGTTTCTGTGCACTGAGGATATCCTGGAAAATATCTGTATACTAGCAACATTAGCTTTGGTGGCATAGCACCTAAGGTATTTGACTACTAACCAGAAGGCTGGTAGTTCAAACTCAACAGTCACTTCTGGGAAGGAAGATTGGGCAATCTACTTCCCTAGATACCACCTCGGAAATCCAAGGGTCACCATGAGTTGGAAACGACTCAATGGCAGTGAGTTTAGCAACGTTACTTGATATGTTTTATTCCTCACCAGAGAGGTGAGCTTTCACTTTTTAACATTATTATTAAGTTTAAAACAATGCGGGGGGGCGGGGGGGGACGACGCTTAATACACGGAATCAGTACCCAGTTATGTCCGTTGTTGTTGTTGTTATGTGCTGTCGAGTCGGCCCCGACTCATAGCGACCCCTCCTTGGGTTTCCGAGGCAGTATCACTACGGAAGTAGGATTGCCCAACCTTCCTTCCGAGGAGTGGCTGGTGGGTTTGAACTACCAGTCTTCTGGTTAGCAGTCAAGTGCCTTAGGCACTATGCTACCAGAGCTCCCCCCAGTTATGTCTAAGTATGGTTATTTCAATGTATTCCTCTGCTAAGAATACTTCCCAATAAACTATCCATTAACACCATCAACTTAATGAAAAAATTTCAAAGATTAGAGTGCTTCTTGGGAGCTCTGGTAGCATAGTGGCTAAGACACTTGCCTGCTAACCAGACGGCTGGTGGTTCAAACCCACCAGCCACTCCTTGGAAGGAAGGTTGGGCAATCCTACTTCCGTAGTGATACTGCCTCGGAAACCCAAGGAGGGGTCGCTATGAGTCGGGGCCGACTCGACGGCACATAACAACAACAACAACAGAGTGCTTCTTATTTAAAAAGTTTTCTCCACTGTATAAAAGAAAGCAGCTTTATTACCGGGGAAAATAAAGAAAAGTGGAACTTCTTTTTTACTCTGTTGGAGTATTTTCTTACAGTTTTCCACAATGTTCTTCTTGTTGCCTAACATATCCACATCTCTTTACTACAAACAGAAATTTAACCCAAAATAGTTTAATATTCTTTTTGTTATGGTACCATGTTTAATCACTTTCTTAGCTTTTACTATTATGCTTTCAAGCTATGCGTAATAACCCAATCAAAGGGCCTTACCATTTTTCGTAATATTTATATTTACTTTTAAATTGCTTGTTAAAAGTTACTGAAATCTACATTTCATCATAAATTCACAGAAATACCCAAGTACAGAACTCTGGAGATCGAGACTGAATCCAGACACCTTCATTGTACAAATTTAGGAGTTCTCATCGATGACCAGAACCCAGGTCTCCCAATTCCCAGTCGGTTTCTCCCCAGATTAGATTTGTTATTAAACTGCTGGGCCAACCCTTCCGTACCCATCGCACGCACTGACAGTTTCTGCTCCTTTGCTCACTGGACTCTACACTGGTCCAGGCCCCTCATCCCACTAGCGCCGAATGTCAAGGCACTTGTACGTTCGAAAAACATAGAAAGCACCTGGACCCTATCAGTAAACAGCAGTGCGCCCACAAGGTCGTCAACCAGAAAATTCGGGAATTCTTGCACGTCCTCCACTCCCGATTCCCGCCACCGGCTACACAATCTGCCCCGGCACGTCCTGCCGACTTTCAGTCCAGACACATGGAGCGAGGATTCCACGCTGAGGGACTTCGCAGACTCAGGCACTGCAAAGCCCAGTAATGCAGCCCTAGGTGTCCTTGGCGAACGCCAGACCCGGCACTTTTGCCATCCTGGCGAATCACGAGCGTGCTTGGGGCAGGCGGCAAATCAGTGCCCTTGTCGGCCAGGCCCAACGAATCAAACGCGAAACTAGGGAGCAAGCGGAAGCTGGCGCGGGGCTGTTGCTTAGCAGGCCTGGCCTGGCTTTCGGCCCCGGTCCTCTCAGCCGTGGACTCTGCGCGTGCGCCCGCCTGGCCGCCGCTAACTCTCCAGGCGCGGCTGCGGTCCCGGTTGCAGCGCGCCGTCTCGGTGTCTGGGCAATCCATGGGCAGCGGCGACGGTCACGATGACAGATTACGGCGAGGAGCAACGCAACGAACTGGAGGCTCTGGAGTCCATTTACCCCGACTCCTTCACAGGTGACTTCCGCGGCCCCAGACCCGCATCCGCCCCGGGGCGGAGTGGGGCGGTCTGCAGCTGCCCCAGCCCTTAGCACCTGGCCAGAATGCAGAAGGGGGGAGAGCGAGGGCGCGCGGCCACTTCGATCACGACTCTTCTCAAGTCCTCCCGGGTTAACTTGCCACCAACTGCGTCTGTTTCTCCTTCCTTCCTTTGCTCCCCTTAATCCAAAAGTCTGGGTGAGGCTAGTGAGGGCCCGGGAGAGTATTAGGCTTAGTTGAGTCGGGGCACTTTGTTTTCTGTGTAAACTGTGCAAACCCGTGGTTTAGTGATAAGCACTGAAAACGAAGAGAGACAAACTCCAAGTGGGATAAGTCTTTCCTCCCAGAGCCGCAAAGGTGTCAGTTTCCACCCTTATTAAGGTAGAAGCTTTTTTATTTTTCCTCCCTCCACACGGTGATGTTTTCAAATTTTGGAGGTTCAGAGTACTGTTCTCGGAGTTCCCAGAATCGCTTTTGACAGTAGCATAGTCCCTGAAGTTTGTCACTTTTTTTAAAAAATATTTTGGCATTTTATTGACTGATGAGTTCATTCTCCGTTCTGCTGTAGACTCACAGGTTGTTAGACTGCAAGGGACTTTAGATATAGTGTAGCCTGGAGGAAAGGTAAGGGGTGAGTTTCTGTCGGAGAGCGAGTTAGCAGTAAGACACTTGACTGCTCACCAGAAGGCTGGCGGTTCAAACCCACTAGCCACTCCTCGGAAGGAAGGTTGGGCAATCTACTTTCGTAGGGAATCCCGAGGAGGGGTCGCTATGAGTTGGGTCCGACTTGATGGCACATAACAACAACAAAAACTGGTAAGATTTAGGTCTGGAACTTTTTCCTGAAATTTCACCATACAGATGTGTGGAACTTGGGATCCAGTTCCACCAGAAGCAAAGGGGAAGAAAGGGTTACGTTGTCAGGTCAGCGAATGTGAAATCCTATTGAGAATTTCATTAGGTATAATTTAAAGGAAGATAACTTTTTTATATAAAGCCATGCTTCAGAAGGTTCTGAAAATGCTGCAGATAACCTAATCAATATGGGTTCTCTCATATTCCGTGTTTGAGACATGATCAAATAAAACCAATGTGACTAAGTAGAACCTAGGTTTGTGGGGTTTACAGTCTCCATCCCTTCAAGTGTTGTCTGTCAAAGATTGTCAGCAATTCAGAGTGTAAAGCTGTACATTAACTCATAAACTCCAGCCTTTCTTTCATTGTTTAGCTTAGTTTTCATGGCTCCACCCTTTGGCCATTGCTTGCAATGATAGCATATTTTGTGCTGCTTTGCCAATAGGCAGATGTCTCTCATCTACCCCTTTCTGTAGATGAGCGTTCTGTTCATGTGGTTTCTCACCAGCAATACAGCTGTGTTGTAAGAATGTTAGGGGTATGAGTGAAGATGGGTTTGAGAGTGCCATATTCTGGGTGAGTGTGTATGGAGTCTAGTTCCCTTCTCCATCATTGCTCATATATTGATGTCTAAATGAAACAGAAGATAGTGTACTGTTTCAGATATATTCTTAATCATGACATTTTGTCTTTTCTGTTGTTCTTGTTGTTATTTGCCATCAAGTCAGACCTGACTCACAGCGACCCCTTCTTGAGTTTCCGAGGCAGTATCACTAGAGAAGTAGATTGCCCAACCTTCCTTCTGAGGAGTGGCTGGTGGGTTTGAACTGCCAGCCTTTTGGTTAGCAGTCAAGTGCCTTAGGCACTACGCCACCAGAGCTCCTTTGTCTTTTCTGGTACTTTGAAAATATAATAGGCATGAACACTTAGCTAGTCAAGAAAGAAGAGAATATATCATTCTTTTCATTTCTTTGGACTTGGGTGGTGGTGGTTGTTATTTGCTGTCAAGTCTGCCCCGACTCATAGCGACCCCTCCTTGGGTTTCCGAGGCAGTAGCACTACGGAAGTAGGATTGCCCATTGGACTTGGGTAGCCCTCATTAAATACTATGCCTATTAGCATTTAGGACAGTGGTGCATTTTTAACTTTAAAACAATATTGTGTGCCTTCCAAATTGTACCAAGCCTTAACAACTTGGTACAGTTCAACATATGAAATTCTAGACAGATTCCCAGTGCATGAGGCTTTGTGAGCCAGGGTAATAAAAGTTAGTTTATGAATCTTGATGCATTCAAGTATTCTACAGTATCAGCTGAACCCATCTGTCTCTAATTTCTATCAGCATTTACACAAACTTTGACATAAATTAAGATAAGATGTAATTCTTAGGGAACTTTGCCTTACTCATGATCATGTTCTTTATGAAACTGCTCAGGAAATAGGCAGAGGGCTTTGAAATCAAATGTTTCCTTGTTTGATCTTTTGAAATCTTGAGGATTTGCAAGGTTTGCTATTTTATAACTTTCTTTTGTGTTTGAAGTTACATGTTTTCATATCTTTATGCCTGGTTTAAGAAAGAGAGCTTGTTGTGTCAGTTTGCTAATTTCATTTTTAATCAGGTTAGATATAAGAGTCTGGTAAATACTTAGTGCAGTATAATACTTTAAAAAAAAAAAAAAAAAAAAAAAAAAAAAAAAAAAAAAAAAA